TCATTTGTCATTTTAAATTGTTATAATAGATAGTGTCGGTGTCTGGTCCTGTATACCATTTTGAATCTAGGCAGAGGAAATGAAGTGCTGATTGTTTTAAAATACAGCTTTCTGTTTCTCTTCCCATTTGGATTGGGTGTGGGGAAGTCTATAGTATAGTTTTTTCATATACATTATTGGAAAAATTAGTGTCTTATCTATGCTGCTTACTGTAAAAAGGAAAAATGGGGAAATGTTATGCTGCAGAGACTTGAGTGTGCTTGATGTTGACTTGCTTGTGTTACTATTTCCTTATTGTTTGGGGGTGAAGTAAGAGGATGCTTAAAAAAGGAACAAAGCCGTCATGTTGCATTCCAGGCTGTCTTGTGATCATTCCTTCACAGACAAAAATAAGTTGCTTTGAACCTATTGTTGTATTTAAGGAACTCTGGTTTTAAATCTTACAGCATGTAAGTATATGCCAGTGTAAATACAGCTCTTGCAAGTCACATGCAGGAATTGCATTTCAGGTTATTCATTAAAGCATGGGCAGAATTCATGGTATAGATATGATGGTATAGGCAGATACCAGCATCTCTTGAGGGGAAATGCTGCGTATAAAGAATCCAGGAACACAGTGCACGTGAACCATGACTGCGAATGGGAGGTTTGTGAAGTTTTTGCACCTTTTCCATATGTTTTTGTAAGTTGTTCAATAAATTCTGTAGTAGGTTCAATAAATTGTTCTTGTCACTTACAAAATAAATTGTGTCTAGCGATTTTTAGCATATGACATCCCGTTCTTTCCTTTCCTCCTGTCAAAATGTCCATCATTAGTATGTATTTTGGAATTTACTGAAGTTACCACATTTGAAGTAGTTCCGTGGCTGAGAATCTGATTTACTTTTCGCTGGCAAAGCTGTGTAATGCTTTTCCTTCTCCCAGTTGCAAACTCTGCCTTTCATTTTTTATTTTTAAAGTGACTATAGTAATAGTTTAAGTGTTCAAAAGATAAATGCTGCCAATTATTCCATATCATAAACTGGAAGATGTATTGAGGGGAGAGATTGGATGTTTTTATAGTTTCTTGTCTATTCTCCAGAAGTCATACATTAATATAAAATAAAGCTCAGTGCCACCAGCAGTAGGGTGGCTGCTTTTCTGAAATACGTGTATAATTCCAACTACATCCAGTCTCCAGCAGAGGGTTGTGCTCCAGGATTTGCTTTTCTGCTTTTTGTTTCTTATCTCTGACCTTGTGGGGGTTCCTGGAGGAGAGGGAAGAGTTATATTCAAATATATATGATGTTTAAGGGTACCACTTAAATTGATTTGCAGTAACCCAGTGTAATGTAATTGGAGTTATGGAAAAAATATTGATACCTTGTAGACAAAGCTGTGGCTATGTTTAGGATCTAAAGGGGGTTTGTTTAGGAGAAGATTTCTCTGTATTCTTCTGTTTGATACCGAAGAAAACTTCAGTTAGCTTTGAAGCTTCTGTATTTTTGAGAGGAGTGAGACTGGATTTGGTTTGTCACCTTTCATGAGTAGTTAAGCGGTTGCTGAAATGTATGAAAGATCATCTCTTGAGGTTCAGTCCGCATGGCACTGTGTTATTCTGGCTGACTACCTGAGAGCATCAGCAGCAAAGGAATAATAATAATGATGGTGGTGGTTTTAAAGCTCTCACATAAGCCTAACTGCAGTGTTTTCATAGTTAACCTTTTTCTGTTTCCATTTCCCGTGACTTATGCTTGAATAGTGTGCTGGAAGCATGTCTAGGACTTTCTGTCCCAGTTGCCCAATCTGGGAGTTAGCTTGAACTTCTCACAAAGGTGGATTTGAATCGATGCTGGGCTGGCTGAGTGGGAAGCACGTGTGCCTTTCTGCCCTGGGTCATGCAGCGACAGTGTCTGTGGGTACCACTACAGCTGGGTTTGTGCAGTGCATGGGAATGACAGCCATTAGGGTTTTTTTTCCCTGCAAAGATTATTGTTTTCTGAATATAACTGCACATTCTCTTCAGTGAGGCAGTTTTGCTTTAGGCAGATTAAAGCCCTAAAAACTTGGAGCTCATTGCACAAGCCTTGGAAACAGTAGCTTTTACTTTCACTGT